CAGTTTTTAGGGTAAGGATTTTAGAAAAAAGTATTGTCTTATAGTCGGAAAAATACGGTACTTCTGAGAACAGCTCTTGATCCTGCACAGAATAACAGAGCATTTTTTACATGAGACGCAAGCATTTTAAGTTCTTCAGCTCCCATAGTTTCTTGTAATGAAGTGATGAAGTGCCTGGCTGAAGGAAAGTGGTTGAGTCTGTGCCAAGGTCACGCATTTTTTTTTAGGGAAGGCAAATGCCTTAGCACAAGACCAAGAGCAGAAAGGGGAAAATGTAGAAGGCACCTGTACAGCAGCACATATATCCTGGGTACAGAATACAGAAACAGCCAGGAAAAGCAGACAAGGTTTTGTTTTGTTTTTAACTGCAGATGCTACAGGACATGTTTCTGGAGACAACATCCCTTGGTTAATGTGGAATGGAGTAGAGCCTGTCAAATCCACAGATTCCAACCTGGGAGAAAATGGAATGTGTTGTGTCTAAAGAAATGCAGATACTGGACAGTGGAACTTTGTGAGCTAAAGGCTTTGTTTGGCAGCCAGACAAGCAAGAGTATCAGTAACTGAGATAAGGAAGGGAAGAAGCCATAATAAAAGTATCTTAGTGACCCTCCTCTGACACGGGCAAGTTCTCAAAGGACTCTGAATTCAAATCTCCTAGAGGGAGCCAGCTCACAAAGCTCCATTCTTTTGGCTAATCTTATGCCAAATGTCAGCAGGAAGTCTTAGTATCCAAACACTCACCTTCTCCACGCGGAAAGTAACTGCTCTGGAGGAAATCTGTAGAATTGGGGCAATGAATTCACAAGTGACATCAACCTTCAGGATACATTCTTTTCCAGACTGCTTCCCTATGATCGCATGGCACAGCAATCTTTCCTTTACCAACTGTACAGGCAAAAAGTACCAGAATGAAAGTGGCTAAGCCAGGCAGACAGAAACCACACTGGGTCCTATGTGAAGACACATCCCTCGGAAATGCCCTTTTTCAGTCAGTTCACCACCCAAACAACCCATTCACCAGGCGCTCTGTGCCAGCACTTGTGGGTCTGAAGATTGACTACATTTTCTCCTATTTTACTCTGCAAGATCAGCCTAGAGACTTTGAGCTGATACAGTGAGATAATCTCCATCAGGAAGCCATTCTCCTGGTAGCCTCCTGCAAGCAGCCTTGTTCTCTCGGCAATCAACAGAATCTCTTCACAACTCTGCTTGCTTTCCTGGCCTGCCATACTTGGAACCAAACAGCCCAGAAAAAACAATAGTTTAATCCTGCTGGCTGTTCAGCCTATTCATCCCTGATACCTTGTAAACATATTGGAATGAAGGTGGTTTCTGCTGTGTTAGTGGGAAGGGCTTCACCCAGTTCGCAAAGCCTGCTCTGAAGGCCATCCAGGAAGCCCTCCAGCACTAGCACAGGGCCACAGACATCTTTAGCCATCAGTTGAATGGGTTGTTCTCTAGAGGACCAGGAGCAAGGACAAGTTACATCATTTTCCCATTAGCAGAAGTGAAAATGCTAATTGTAGCAGCACATTAATCTCAAAGAAGAACAAAAATCCCGCTCTGGTTGCTAAAAAACTCACAGATAGTTAAAAACCAGAAAAGTTGAATAAAACACAGACAAAAAAGAAAAGAGAATATCTTATCCAATAGCATTCATAACATTACTTGTCCAGTATTTTGAGGTGACCATACGGTAGTTACAGCAGCTAACTGAAGCCTTAGCACCGGTCATACTATTATAGTGATCTATAGCAACCTGGCCTGCTTGGAAGATGCTGATCATATCCAGAACCTGAAATGCCATGGCGATAAATCTAAAGGGAAAACATGGATGCTTTGAATCATAGAAGTATATAATGGAAGGGTTGGAAGGAACTTTGGAGACCATCCATAAAATACCTTGGGAATGTCAGAAGATCCTTCCAGGACCATGTCCATACTCTTTCCTGGGGTCAGTTCCATTCTCAGTGGCTGAAGCTTGAACACAGGACCCTGCAGTTCTGCCTTTGGGTGAAAGGTTTGGTTCTTCATGTTAGCGCTGACGGCAGGGAGCGTGTTGCGCTGGCGAAATGGGGCAAAACCTTCAGTCATCCAGTAAAGCTGATGGGTGCGACGCCCATAGTTGGTTATTTTGAAACGATAGCAGCATGGGTCCAAACTAGGAAAGTGACAGAAGGATTAATGCTATCATGCTGTTCCATCGCAGAGTACCAAAGAGTGAACAAATAAAGACAAGATATAAGAGAAAAGAGAATCTAAATGGAGGTTACACTAACACCACTGATTACAAATAATTCTACCCTTGCATCTTCATGCAGCATCTTCATACACTGCATCACAAATTACTTTTATTCTTTAAACATATCACCTCTTTTTTTTTAGGATCTCAGCTCCATCCAACCATGTTTTTCTTTGTCATTCTGTTCTTCTCAACCCATTCACTTTTCTTTCCTATATTTGTCCCAAGGTTAAATTCTCATTCATTTTATCTATAAGGCCAAACCACATCAATAACTTATTTTGTAATGTCACTCACTTATGTATTCAATCTACATTCTTCATTTAGCATGCATTCATTACTGACCCTTCTGTTTTACCAGACACTTCTTAAGTACTAACTGCAATCAATTTAATGTTTCTCCTGACATAGCCAACTCTCACTTCCATGTAACAAAGTGGGCAGAGGAACAAATTTAATTTCTTTCCAAAATCATTCCTTACTCTCAAGAGACCACAAACTACTCACCCTTTTATCAGTCAGTCAGTCAGTCAGTCAATCAATCAATCAATCAAATCTTTATTACACTCATAGACCAGCATAAGGGGGTAAGGTATAGTCATTAAAATGAAGCATAAAGGTCTAAAATATAAATATAAACGTGAAAATGAATATCTAAAAAAATTATAAAAAGCCAGAAGATATGATAGATATATAATTTAAAACTAAATGTATATATAAAAAGTGAAAATTTAAAAAGAAGAGGTGTCATGGAGAAAATCTATGTGGTCACTAGGAGCCAAAAATGACTTCATGGCACATAATCAATCAATCAATCAATCAATCAATCAATCAAAAAGAAGGGGTAGGAGCATTAGATGGATGTGGGGGAGCATAAAAAAGTCAGTATGTGGAAAACTATCAAGTTACAAAGCACCCTAATATGGCAAAATAGGTGCACATTAGTTTATAAAATTGACCCCCAAATACAATCACCATCTCACAAATTTTCAGTACTTATGCACAGAACCTGGAAACACTGTATGTTGCAGCAGTGTTGTTATCTGAAAGCAAGAGGGTGATATAGAATTGTCCTGTGTCCCCTGGGTATTTGTCAGCCCCACCAAGAAATCAATTCTATAGGGAGGCTAAAACTACTTTTATTGAGGTTGGGTCTAATAACAACATCCTGCAAGTGTGATTGTGCTGCATCTCCCCCTCCTCCTCCTCCTTATACTTCAGTGAAT